AATAAAGAAAGGGAATGCTTTTAAGAAATGATGAAGAAGCAGCCATGTCTTCATGTGTTCCCTTGAAAAAGTAGACTTTGACTGTATCAACTACCAGTGATTGATTGTGGAGTTAGTGAAGAAGATTTTGATCAAGAAATTTGACTCTTTTTCAGATACGAATGCAAGTCTAAGAATAAACTCCTTTATTAATATGCAAAACACATGAGGATAATCCAATTGCAGAGCAAACACAATCTTTTAACTAAACATGTACTAACAAAGATTTCTCAGGACAGAATTAAGTTCATTTCTTCTATTCTTTTTTTTTCAGTCGAACAAGAGCTCGCATGTACTGGAACCACGTGGCGCGGATGACAACTCCTTGAGCATCTCATGTTTCTCTAGCAGAGTACTGGTGGACTTGGGAGAGATAATCACTGTCTTCAACCGAATAGCGTGTTTTAATATGAATGTCGCCACTTCTTTCTGCTTTTGTGATCCTTCATATAGTTCCCACTTGAAGGTCTCAAGATGAGATAACAAACCCTTGGGAAGAGTAATAGGTTGCTTCCAACTAGCCCGGGGACTAGGGGCACGTCGAATATGTTTCTGAGATCAAAATTGGGCAAAGAGCAATAAGCATTCCAATGCTCTGTACAATCAAAAGCAGAAACCAGACAAGAAACTAACGGAATAACGGAAACAGGGTTTGTTTTAATGTACCTGGCGGAGTTTAAGAACTCGTAGTTTAGGTGAATCTTCAATCAGTCGGGTAAGTAAATCCCACCACCGTGGCGCACATGTGCATAGTTCTAGATGAACAAGCTGGGAGAAGATAGTACCAGTAGGATAAGCAGCCTGCATTTAAGAACATCAAGTACAGTCAATCAAATCACAAGAAACCGACTTTTTTGTTCAATAATAGAAAGAGAGATTACATCTGAAGTGACTAGACATAACGCAAGACGTTTGATCGAAGTGAGAGATCCCAGAAGTTTCTCGGTGTTTTTATAAATAACATCGACATTTGCATCTACCACCTCAGGCATGTTGTCAATGTAACAAAAGCCACCCCAATAGTCTTCGATGTCTAGACGCTTCAATTTAGGGGCAACTATCAAGAACCCATCGTCGTCTCCTTCAAAAGCCTGCGACGATTTATGTAAAGAGAGAGTCTTTAAGCACAACGCATTAACAGTGACGACTTTAACATTGTCACCAGGGCATCTCTGCACAACCAAATCCTCGAGAGCAGAGCAGCATGATAAAATCTGAGGAAGTGATCGGTCATCTAAGTACTTCACATCTAGAAGGTGCAAAGTCTTGAGAGATTGGAAGCAAACATAAGAAGAGGCATCAACAAGGCTTATGTTTTTGAGTTTCAGGACCGAAAGCGTTCTACAAGTAAACAAGCACATAGGCAATCTTATAGGTTCTTCACCGGTACAATAACTGATATTCAGCTCACGAACGCAGCGATCTACCGCAATTCTAACCCATATCCCTAAATCCACCTCTGCGGTACAACATCTCGAACCAATCTTGATATGCAAACTCTCCGAAGTTGGAGCCTTGTGTAGTAGCAAAAACCTGTTGACAAAATTTGTAAACTTTGGACTACTATTATCGTGTAGCCTGAGATCAAAGTTGAGCCTAGGGACTAATGTCCAAAGAAACCGCCATCGTTTCGACAAAAGACTCGTCACCATGACATCTTTTGTAGGAAGACATGACAATATCGGTAAGAGGAAATCATCTGGCAAACGACTGATCTTATCCCTATAATCTTCCATTTTAGATTACACAAACTTTCAGATCTGTGACTGATTATCACAAACGGCTCTAATTCCTGCAAGAAACAAAAAATGGGAATACGAAAGAAAATTAAAGTTCTGGGTATCATAATTTCATCAAGAACACACATATACATAGAAACATTAGATTCAAAAGATGATTCGAAAGAAGAAACCCCACAAAATTCACCGAAAGGTACGATTTTTGAACTGATTTGACCCAGAATTGCTAAGAACTTGATTCGTTCGCATTTGGGTTCAAATCAATTTACCTAGCCCACCCTTCGAACTCGAATCATCGGGAGATTTCGGAAGAAAATAAACATTCAAAACCCACAAAAAGAGACGCGAAGAAGAAATTAGCAGAAAAACTTTTACGATTTACAACAAAATCTTTGCTTCAGTGACGGTTCTGGATTGTGTAGGGTTTCGCGAAAAGTAGTAATCGAATCCGCTAATTTTAATTTTGCT